AATTCCTTTTCAGAGAATTAATTTTTGCTTTAAATATTTTTATTATGATTTTACAGAATCCAGACATAACTACAATTCCTTTCCTCTCTCCCCACCCCCAAATGCTCCCTTACTCTATCATACTACATGACTTTCATCCATCTCATATTCTTCTAAGGTATTTAGGCTAACATTGATGAATCTTGGTGGCTACTTTTATTTTCTATTTATAGTATTGTTTCAGATATTTAGTAATTTAAGTATAAATGTTATACTGAGCTATATTAAAAAATTATTTTCTGTGTGTTTGTACCAACAGATTGGTGATAGTATTGTGCACAAAGCAAGAGAGACCTTGGAACGAGCTATTAAACTAGTGAATGACACCAAGAAATGGGGTGCTAGGGTTGTATATGGTGATACTGACAGGTAATAGATTGTGTGTTGAAGTTGTGTTTTGCATTTCTTTGTATCTATATCCCAGTGTTTTAAATGGCTTATATGTGATCCCTCCCCCAAATTAGAATTTTACCTACATCCTCTCCAGGCCTTGTGGTCTCATGATTAGAGTCAACATGGGTCATAACTTTTACCAGCTATGGTCTTTAAAAGAGACATAAAAGGTAAATCTCCTGACCACAAACTGGAAAGAATCTCAATACATCCCTACAGGTAACTCTTATTGTTGTTGTTATGAAGTTCCATCGAGTCGGTTCCGACCCATAGTGACCCTGTATAGGGTTTCCGATCAATAGCTGGTGAGTTTGAACCACCAACCTTGCAGTTCAAATGACTTTGCAGTCTGGCGCATTAGCCCACAGCTCCATACCGGGACTTAGTGTTAATAGCTCCCTCTTTTTCTACTACATTTTTCTGTCTTGTAAGATAAAATGTGACCTAGGTCACACACTCCCCATAGAAATTCCTCTTACATTGGATTAAGTAAGGGGATTGCATCCCACCCTAACCTTATTACAGCTCAATGGCTGATCACAATCTGAGGGATGATTGCTTCATTACATAACTACCAGTGGAAATCATGTGCAGCCAAGTTGACACGTGTTTTTGCAGGACGCATGCAAAAACATGTGTTTTACCATTACCCTAGGTTTGAAAACTAGTCAAAAATCTGCCAGCTAGTCAACAATGGAACTAGATACTGATACTTAGTATTTTGATTCCTAATGGGTATTTTCTGGCCACATCCAACTTCACAGATTTTATTATACCATTTAAGGAAATTTTTACAGTGTCATTAGAACCTTTGATCACCGCTCACTGCTGGACACCCAGTCAACAAAGACTGACAAGAGGGCAGTTCACTCCAGGGCCTGCCTTCATTACCCCAAGGTGATAACGCTGAAGGCTGCATGGAGGGAGGCAAACAGGAATCTTAGATATTAAATAGTTTATTGCCCTACAAAGCTCAACCTTACCTAACAGTGTTTTCATTCTTTCTGATTTCTCATACTAAAATCAAGTTTTTTCTTCAGTGGAATAGTGACGAAAAAAAGCTATAAAACACTGCTGTAGATTGATAGTAGTAAATGATGCTTGCTGATGTAAAGAAAGTTCCCAACTGAGAATGAGAGGATCTGGATTCTCTTTCTAGCTATACACCTGAACGTGGGCTGATTAAAATCACTTAGCTTAATAGTCTCATCATCAAAATGAAGGAAATCCAGTAGATGATGATGAATGACTATTGCCTGCCTCAAATTTCAAAATGGTTTATTTTTTTCAATCTTGGGGTTCAGCTAAAGGAGACAGATTACCAAAGCATCAACAGGTCTCTCAGAAGGATGTTTCTCCTTTAAAGCAGTCATACGTGGGGTTTATTTAGATGGTGTAATACATAGAAGCACTGTTTGTATATTGTTGTTGTTGTTAAGTGCCGTCAAGTAGGTGCCATAGCGACCTGTATAGGGTTTCCGAGAAGTGACTGGTGAGCTTGAACTGCCAACCTTGCAGTTCAAACTGCTCTGCAGTCTGGTGCATTAACTAAACCACAGTGCCACACCAGGACTCCCTGTTTGTTATTATATGTAATGATGGTTCTCAGTCATATTTATGCCTCCCCACTGGGATATAACTGACCTTCATCAGCTACTAAAACTCCCGATAGAAGTGATTCTCAGGCAGGGTAAGGAAGGATATTTGACAGGAAAAGCACCTACACATGCTATTTTAAAAACAGAAGAGTAGTAGAAAGCTAGAATCAGGATCTTCTGGGAAATTCACCTAGAATTCATCCCAGTATACTCCACACCCCTCACTTGGACTTAAAATTGGGAGAATAGTCTAGTTAGATTAAAAGCATTAGTAATAAACAATTGGAAACTCATTTCAAAGGCTAGTCACTTCCATTCATGTGACCAAAATCTTCCATTAATCCTAACTAGCTCTAATCAAGTTTGCCTCCAAATCAAACTTGTCAAAATAGCCTAGATGGACTCAACAGACCCACTGATACCACTGGGTAAATTATCAATTATATACCCCACCCAGAATAATTGCTTTTAAAATATAAAGTCTCTGAACCTTTAATTTTTAAATCAGTTTTACTGAGTCTATAGTTCAAGCAGTTTGGCAAATTAATGAGCTTGTTTAATGAACTACCATCACCGAGATGCCAAACATTTCTATCACTCTAGAGAGTTCCCACATACCCCATTGCAGTCAATCCCTCACCCTTGCTATCATACCCAGGCAGCCACTTACATGATTTTTGTTGCCTTAACTTACTTTTTGCCTATTCTAGAACTGTATAGAAGTCTGTGTATGTACACTTTAATTTAGAAATGTTTGCATTCATCATTGCATCTGAATGCTGTAAGAATAAGCTTTGAAAAAAGAAACCAGTTTAACAGTTGCTATAAAGTTGACTTAACATATGATAGCAATTGCATTCCTTGCTCTTTACTTAAGTGATAACATATGCCCACAGAAGGATTTGCAGATGAATCTTCATTGCAACTTTATTCAAAATAGCCTAAAACTAGAAACCATCCAAATTTCCACAAATGGATGAATTCTAGACAAATCATGGTATATCCATACAATGGAATACTACTTGGTGATTAAAAAAAAAGAACCAACTACTGACACTCTCAATAATGTGAACAGATCTCAAAAATATGCTAAATGAAAGAAACTAGACATACCAGCATACTTATTGTATGTTGTTACTCTTAGATTCCATCAAGTGAGTTCCAACTCATAGTGACCTTATGTATACAATAGAGTGAAACGCTGCTCAGTCTTGCGCCACCCTCACAGTGGATACTGTGTTTGAGCCCGTTGTTGTAACCAATGTGTCAGTCCATCTCATTGAAATCTTCCTCTTTTTCAATGACTCTCCTTCTCCAGGGGCTAGTCCCTCCTGATAACATGTCCAAAGTACTTGAGACCAAGTTTTGCCATCCTTGCTTTTAAGGAGCATCTAGCTATACTTCTGAGGCAGATTGTTCATTCTTAATGGCAGTCTGTGGTGTGTTCAGTATTCTTCATCAATGCCTTAATTCAAATGCATCAATTTTCTTCAGTCTTTCTTATTCATTGTCCAACTTTCACATGCATATGAGGTGATTGAAAAGTTGGGTCAGGTACACCTTAGTCCTCAAACAGACATCTTTTGCAGCAGATTTGCACAATGCAATACATCATCTGATTTCTAAACTACTATTTCCGTGGGTGTTGGTTATGGACCCAAGTTAAATGAAAGCCTTGCCAGCTTCAATATTTTGTGCTTATCATGGTGATACAACTGTATAGATTTTTTTTTTTTCTTTAAGTCCTCTTCACTTTCAGCAAGCAAGGTGGTGTCATCTGAATTGTGCATTTTGTTAATGAGTCTTCCTACAACCCTGATGCTGCATTCTTCATATAAGTATGGTGAGAGGATACAACCCTCACATATACCTTTCCTAATTTTAAACCTGTTCAAACAGCTGACTCTTGGTCTATGTACAGGTTCCACCTGAGCACAATTCTGGAACTCCTGTTCTTTGCAGTGTTGTCCACAATTTATTGTGATTCATACAGCTGAATGCCTTTGCATAGTCAGTAAAACACAGATAAACACCTTTCTGGTACTCTCTGCTTTCAGCCAAGATCCATCTTGCATCACCTTCAGTTCACATGGTTTCCTGGTTCTACCAGTTAGTTCCCTATTGATGTACTGCTGCAACCATTTTTTTAAATTATCTTCAGCATAATTTACTTGCATGTGATATTAATGATATTGATCAATAATGTCTGCATTTCATTGAATCACCTCTCTGGAATGTACATAAATATTTGGATCTTTTCCAATGGGTTGGCCAGGTAGCTGTTTTCTAAATTTCTTGGCATACACTAGTTATTCAAATAGATCCAGTGTTGTATCCATTTGTTGAAATCTATTTGTGCATACAACACTTCAACTGTTCTGTCAATTCCTGAAGTCTGTTTTTTGCCAATGCCGTCAGTACTGTGTGGACATCTTCCTTCAGTATCATCGATTCTTAATCATTTGCTACTTCCTGAAATGATTAAACATCCAACAGTTCTTTTTGGTTGTGGCTGTGTATATTCTTTCCATCTTATTTTGATGCTGTTTGTCCATAAACTTGGTCAGTATTGGACTTGAGTTCTTGAATACTTCGGTTCGTTCTGCTTGAGTAATGCTGAGCATGTTTTTCCCTTTTAGTTTTTTAATCCCAGGTTGTTTTCATACTTTATTATGATATTTTACTTTGTCTTCTCAAGCCTCCCTTTGAAACCTTCAGGTTTTTCACTTCATTATTTCTTCCATTCACTTTAGCTACTTTAGCTTCTAGAGCAAGCTTCAGTCTCTTCTGACATCTATTTTGGTCTGCCTTTCTTTCTTTTCTAATGATCTTTTGTTTTCTTAATGTATGATGTCTTCCCACAACTCATCTGGTCTACAATCAATGTCAGCTTTTCAAATACATCTTGGGATGGTCTCTTATTTCAGGTGGAACATAGTCAAGGTGATACTTTGGCTCTCATGAACGTGTTTAAATTTTCTTCAACTCAACATGTACTTGCATATGAGCAACTGATGGTCTGTTCCACAGTCAGCCTTTGTCCTTGTTAGTTTGTTTCTTAACTTAATATTGTGATTTGGTTGACAGTTTATAGAGCAAATTGGTTTCCCATTCAACAATTCACACATTATGTTTTGTGACATTGATTGCCCCAGTGTTGGTTAAAATTAATTCAAATTGAGAGAGTTTTTTAAGACCTTAAGTAAAATTGAATGTATCAAAACATTTTAAAAATATAAGATTGGTTTGTTTCCAAGACTAGAAACAAGTATCTGAAACTCATGCTTCAAGATATTGTTCATTTCCACTACTTAGTGTCTTTCCAATATAATTATTAATGAAGATAAACTTCATAATCTCTTAATACTACATTAGTCTTTTATTTCTGCTGAAATAATTTCTGCTCTATGGAAGCAGAGTGTAGAGGCTCTGGGAAAAGCACTGGACTGTGAATCACAAGGTTGGTGGTTCAAGCCCACCAGTTGCTCCACGGGAGAAGATGAGCCTTCCTACTGCCACAAAGACTTACAGCCTCAGAAACCCCATGAGTCAGAACCAACTTGACAGCATTTAGCAGCAATGTATCTGTTGGATATTCAGTACGAGCTATATATTCAGACATAAACTGCTATTGTAAAGTTAACTGGATTATATGTTTGCCAGTTTTGTTTTAATTAGTTTTCTTTTAGTATTTTTAAAGCCATATTAGAAATTGTTTCCTCTTGACCTGTATACTGTTTGTAGGATTATACATCAGGAATATCTCTCTGGAAATCAGTTTGACAGGATCTTTTAAGACTTTAGAAATGTTTATACACTCTGTCCAGACATTTTACTTCTAGGAATTAATCCAAAGAATATAATCAGATATGTGCCAAATAACAACCTATTGTCATCAAGTCGATTGTGACTCATAGGACACTTTGTTGTTGTTTGTTTTTAAAATGCCGTTGAGTCGACTCTGACTCCTAGCAACCCTGTATAGAGTTTCCAAGGAGCGGCTGGTGAGTTTGAACTGCCAGTCCTGTGGTTCAAACTGACCTTGTAGTCGCCGCTTTTAAGACAGGCTAGAACTGCCCCATACAGTTTAAAAGATTGTAAATCTTTATAGAAACAGACTGATCCATCTTTCTCCTATAGCAGCTGGTGGGTTTAAACCACCATTCTTTTGGTTAACAGCCAAGCACTTTACCACTGTGCTACCAGGACTCCTTAAATAACTATTATGTAATCAATATTAGGAGAAGAAACATTTTTACAGTGTCAATTATAGAAGTGTAGTTAAAGTATAATACAAAAGGGCTTCAGAAAGCTAGTGGAAAAGTTCCATTTTTCCATGAACTTTTTGGAGTTCTCTTGTATATCTATTCATCGAAATACAATATAACTATACAAATTATGTAGAAAAACTAAATTACATGGGGAAATGTTCACAGTAGACTATTAAATGCTAAAAGAAAATTGCTAAACAGTTTTATCTGTGATCCCTAAAAAAGATTTATTAGATGTCTTAAAGATTTGTAACTAGATATACCATGAATTGGCAAAGAAAGCGTGATAAAACTTGAAAGTTTAGATAGGAAGCAACATAATAAGGGAAAATAAAGTGAAGAAAGGTATTTTCTGTGTTGTTAAGAGTGTTAGCCAGGAAAAGTTACTTTGCATGAAGCATTTTGTTGTAATTATTCCTCATTACTTTATATTTAATCCCCTTAGTATGTTTGTGCTACTCAAAGGAGCCACTAAGGAGCAGTCTTTCAAGATTGGTCAAGAAATTGCTGAAGCTGTGACTGCTACCAATCCTAAACCAGTGAAATTAAAGTTTGAAAAGGTAAGATAATGTAATACTGGTAATCACTTACAAAATTCAAATATCTCTTGAGAGATTTCTGAGTTGTTCAATATATTTTCAAAATCATTAATGGGTCTTTAAAAAGTGTTAAATTTTTTGTGTTGTCTCTTTTCTTAGTTTCATATATTTTCTCAAAAAGAAAAGTTAAATCTTTTTATTAGGAAATGAAAGGATTTTTCCAGTTACTATTCCTGTGTAACAGACCACCCCAAATTTGTTTTATTTGCTCTCAAACCACTTTTTTTTTTAAATTCAGAGAGGGCGCAGAGGGGATGGCATGTCTCAGACCTCTCTACAAGACCTGCATCCTCAGCTGGGCTGAAATCATCTGAACTGTGCTCACACTCTTATCTGGTGGTTGATGCTGACTGCTAGAAGGGATGTCAGCTGGGACTGTCAGCTGGAACACCTAAAGCTGGCCTTTCCCTGGGGCTGCTTGGACTTCCTGACAGCATGGTGACTGGGTTCACAATGAACATTACCTGAACCCCAAAAAAGGCAAAAGTTGTTTTGCTTTTTATGACCCAGCCTCAAAGTCACACAGCATCACAAGCTTCTCTGCATTTAATGAATTGTGAGCATAGCCCCATGTCTTAATGGAAAAACATTAAAGTCTCATTGTTAGAGGACCACATAGGCTAGGAGATGGTGTTTGAGTCATTTTTGAAAAACAGTCAACCACAAAGATCTTCAACTATTTTCACTTTACTATAGAAAAGGCAAGAAAGTGACAGATTATTCATCTCAAAACCGTTCTGATTATGTCACTCCTTTAATTGTATGCAAAATGAATTGGAGAGAAGAGAATCTCAAAACAGGATACTGGTTGCAACCTGTATAACCAGAACTAGTGTAATGACAGGAGTCCTGGTGCTGTAGGATAAGCACTAGACTTATAACTGCAAGGACAGTGGTTCAAACCCACCACCCACTCCTCAGAAACCCTATACAAGGTCACTATGAGCTAGAACAGACCCTACATCACTTAACAACAACAGTGTAAGGACAGCAGGGAAAATGAAGATGGTACAATTCAAGAAACATTTCATTTTAAAAGGCTGGGCAAGAATAAACAGTTTTAAGAGGACAGTATGGAAAGGAGAAAAGGTAGAAAAGAATCAAAAATGACTTCCACATGTTTACTGTGCACATACTCTGAACCAAGAATTATGCTAGAAATGCTTCAAAGTGGGCTCAGCTTTGGTAACTGCCCTGAAGAGTGATCAGTCTGATGGGGGGAAGGGATGATACAGAGGAGGAGAGAAAACATAGAGAACACAGTGGTAAGTGCTACTCCCGAAGTACATGTAAAGTACTGGGGCTGCTAAACCCATCTCGTAAAGTAAAGAGCATGGTGTCTTCAGAGATGAACACAGTATACAAAACTTAACCCAAAATACATTACAGACCTCACATAAAAATCACAGAGTTTCTAAAAGAAAGTTTAGATATTTGTTAAGGATTCTAGTGCCTATGTTCATGATGAATATTGGTCCATAGTTTTATTTTCTTATGTCTGTATGTGCTTGGGGACAAGAAAAGCCTGAACTCATTGAGTTGAAAGTATTCCCTCTTTTGTTTTCTGAAAAGAAAAAAAAATGTGTAAGATGGGTAAAATTATTTCATCCTTATGTTAGTTAAAATTCACCAGTGAAGCCATCTAAGTCTTTTAAGAAAGATTTTTTTTTTTTTTTTTTTACCTAAAATGGGGCTACAATGTACCCAGTGAAGGAGGCTTCCTTTGGAGCCTCTGCATTACATAAGACCATAGGGGGAATCCTGAACCCCATCCAGAATCTTCTGAGGTAGGAAATTTCCACTTGAAAGAACAAGCAGACCAGCCTGGAGTGCCTAGAAGAACAGAAAATACTTCTTGAAAGAAAGACCCACAGAAAAAATACAAAACAATAATGGTAGTCTGACTGATTACTACAAGAACAAGCAAGTTGCTCACCCAGGAGACGTCAAGGCAAGTGGTCAGGTCCCCTCAGGGCAAACTCCCTTCCAAGACTAAGACTCAGTGGAAATACATGAGCAGACATGTGCTCTGACTGGTGACCACGTTGGTCACTCATAAGGGGAAGTGAGGGAAAAACAGCAATGAAGCAGCAAGCTAAGCCCTACCACATTCAGTAGGCTCCTGTGAACCTGGGTGGAGACCTGGTTGGCCAGCAGTGTGGCAAGACCTGGGGACTCCTAGACCCAGAGTCAGTGACATAGCCACAGAGGACTAGAGTGGAGAGTGAAGCGTCCAGCTGATAAGAAGTGAGGGCATATGCACAAAAACACCCACACTTGCAGATAGTACCCACCTGACCTGGCTTCAATGGATGGATGATCAGAATTCAGCTAGAAGAAGAAAGAAGAGGAGAAAAAGAGTAATCTGATACAATTTAATGAACTTGACCTACTCCTATGGATTCAGTAGCTCAAAAGAGGGAACAAATCTTTACAGCAAGGTTCATTCCCCCCTCAATACACATGTTGACAGAGATGGGCAACTTGAACATTGACTACCCAAAATGAGGGGGCTACAAAGGCAAGAAACTTTCAAGAGAGAGCCTAGCTAAATCCAGAGGGTGCAGAGGAAGGTAGAATCTCCACTGAGTAGTATCCAAGCTGTCTGGGTGGAGCTGATGAAAGGAAATGGAGATAGGACTCTTGTGACACAATAGTGAATAATTGCTATCAGGACTGACTGTAAGGGTTGGAAATGTAAAGGTAGACATTTTGTAGCAAAACAAGGGGAGTGGTTGACTTTGTAGTCAAGGAGCAGAGGTCCCTGGGACCATCAAGGGAGAAGAGCAGAATGTGGAACCCTATCCAGAGAAACAGTGACGCCAGAGATGGAGGCAGAGACGATATGGAGAGAGGGAATGGTTGGGGACTTTAGACACAGAGAGAGAGAGGAGCTGTGTGCTGATAACCCCAGGGCAGGCTTGCAGGGTATACTTTTTGGTTGGTTGATGATGCATGGAGGGGACTGTAACCATGGCAATGAAACGATATATACAATAGGATGAATGTAAAGCTAGTGTTCTCCCATGTAAACTATCACATAATTCACACACACAAAAAAAAAACATTTAAAATGAAAGATTTTTCATTTTAAATTCAACATCTTTGATATTGCATTATTATGGTTTTCTGTTTCTTGTGTCAGGTTTGATACCTTATGGATGTCAAGCAGTTTATCCATTTCTTCTGAATTGTCAAATTTATTGGCATGAATTGTTCATATTTCCTTATTATGGTTGTAGTATCCAGTAGGGTCTCCAGTGATGTCACTGATATCAATAATTTCTGCTTTTTTCCTCATCCATCTAGCTAGAGGTTTATCAATTTTTTGAACTTTTAAAATAACCATTTAATTTGGTATCCACACTATTATTATTTACTTTGGATTTAATTTGCTCATCTTTTCCTTTTTTTTAATTTGGAAACTTGAATCATTGATTTTAAAGCAGTCTTTTTTAAAGCATTTAAAGCTTATAGATTCTTTCTAAGCACTCCTTTGCTTGCATGTCGCAAATTTTGATATATTTTTATTTTCATTCCTTTTAGTGAATTACAATGACCTATGGGCGGGCTATTTAGAAGTGTGTTAAAAGTTCCAAATATTTGAGCATATTCTAAAAATAATTTTATTAATAATTCCTTTGTGGTCAAAATTTTTTTGTCTAGCATATGTTCTGTCTTGATGAATGTTCCATGAGACCTTGAAAAGCCATGTGTATTTCTGGTTGTTGGATATAAGTGTCACTTGAGTTGATGGATAGTATTTTTGAAGTCTTCTGTATTCTTTACTGATTTTTCTTGTCAGTTACTAAAGAGGTGCTGAAATCTTCAAGTATAGTTGTGGATTTGCCAGTTTTCTTCCTTTCAGTTCTGTCCATTTTTGTCATATACTTCAGAGTACTTTTATTAGTGCATATACTTTTAGGATTAGATATCTTCTTGATTAATTGTCTCTTTAATTTCCATTAATATTCCTTGTCTTGAAATCTACTTTTTTTATTTATATTAATATAACTGCTCCAACTTTCTTTAATGCTAGCTTGTATATCTTTTTTTATTTTTAATTTTCTATGTCTTTACCTTTAAAACGTTTTTCTAATAGATTGCTTACAATTGGACCTTACTTTTCTATCCGATCGTGTAATTTCTGAATTTTATTTGGGATGCTCAGATCATTTACATTTAATGTGATAAATTAGTAATAAAGATTGAGGGCAGTGGGAAGCGTAAATAGTAATAACATTGGTGCTGTTGTTAAGTGCCCTCAAGTCAATTCTGACTCATGGCAACCAGTTAGCAGTTCCGTGCTTATTCTGTAGTGCCACACTAAGGAAGAAAAAATACTACATACACTTATTGATCCAGGAAGTCTATTTAAAGGAATTTATCCTTCAGGTTTATTCATGCAACAGTATTGTTGTTCATTGCAACGTTATTTGTAATTCCAAATAATTGAAAACATCCTAAATGACCCATATTGAGTGTACTGTTGACTACAAGAATGAACACATCTGTCCTAGAAGATGGACAGCCAAAATGCAATTTAGAAGCAAGGATGACAGGACTTTGTTTCCTGTACTGTAGACATGTTATCAGGCAAGACCAGTTCTTAGGAAGGGACATCATGCTTGCTAAAGTAGAAGGTCACTGAAAACGAGGAAGACCCTAAACAACATGGATTGATTGACACACTGGCTACAACATGGGCTCTAATGAAGCAGCTGTGGCGATGGTGCAGGATGGGGCAATTGTTCTGTTATAGGATCTTAGGATCCTCATGACTGGGAACTCACATGACAGCACCTAACAACAACACTCTTTTTTAAATTTTGTATCATAAGTGTCATTTGTTGTTAAGTGTACCATAGAGTTGGTTCCAAACCATAGCGACCCTGTGTAGGTTTTCCGAGGATTGGCTGGTGAGCTGGAACCACCAATCTTGCAGTTCAGACCAACTTGCAGTCCAGTACATTAGCCCACAGAATTTCAAAAATTATTTAAGAAGAAATGATTGTTGGCTTTTGAAGAGCGTATCAGTTGAAATCAGGACAAGTAATATTACAAGAAAAATAGTGACTGAGTATTAAGGAAGTTAGGACAACTTGTTTTGTATGCTTTCATCTCCATAATTATATCATGAATTTGTATGGCATTGTAGGATTAGCACTGGACCACAGGGTTGGCTTGAACCACAAGGTTGGCAGTTCAAACCCACCAGCTGCTCCTCGGAAACCCCTATACAGGATCACTATGAGTCAGAACCGACCCAATGGCACTCACTTAACAACAAACTATAAGAACTCCTGGTTTGTCACTATCGGATAAGCACTGAACTGCTAACTGCCAGGTTGGCGGTTCAAACCACTAGTTGCTCCTCAGAAACCTTATACAGGGTCATTAAGAGTCAAAACTGACCCAACGGCATTTAGCAACAACAAACAGTACTAGTACTTACAGTTTTTTAGAATTAACATTTGATTAAAGAAAAGAGGAAAATAAAGAGAAAATATCCATGGTGGGGAAAACTGTTACTGAGAAGGCGTTTTGTTCATTTCACCACAGGTGTATTTGCCCTGTGTCTTACAAACAAAAAAGAGGTATGTAGGTTACATGTATGAAACGCTGGATCAAAAGGACCCCGTGTTTGATGCAAAAGGAATAGAAACAGTTAGAAGAGATTCTTGTCCTGCTGTTTCTAAGGTAAGTTTTATCTAATTTTTCTTCATTTGTAGGAAATACACACATATTTAGGTAGAACCCAATAACTCTTGAGAGATTAATTTCTGATCAAAATGACTTATTTTTGTCCTTAGTTCCTGACTTTTTCCCAACTTTAACTTTTACCAAAGTTGCTATAACGTAACATATGAAGTAAGTGAGAGAAAGGATAATATAATATGGTATCATGACAACATCCAAAACAGCAGGGAGCCAGGATAAAGAAGAAAAACAAGCAACCGAAATTACATGAGACATAATTCACCCCAGGTTAACAGAAAGTTAGTTGTCTTGGGTTATCAAATATAAATTAGGGGAATTTCTGACCAATGGCACTATAACTTATCCAAAATTTTCAACCATAGTAAATTTAACCATAATGCAAGGAGGCTTCAAAAAGTTCTTGGGAAAATTTCATTATCTTTCTAATTCTACTTTCCATGAGCCTTTTGAAACCCCCTTGTATTTCAATTTGTTAATTTTTCTTTATGTAGTCTCCAACTCCTTCCATGGCAATGTGGAACACTGAGTTCTATGAAAATACTAAAATCATAATGAATTAATAATTATTGTCAGTCAGTATGATATGAATTTTGTATATTCAGTACTCGTTCCAGGAAGAAGTGTCACTCAGTACATTCTTTCTCTGCCATCAGGATCACATCTAGACAAGCTCACTTGTGTAACTCGTGCACATAGGTCTTAGTATTCACCGTGATACATGAGACTGCTCACTTCTATCTAATTTAAATTCAGTCCACTGCAGGAGTCCCCTGCACACTGGTTAATTCTAGTAGAAACATTTAAACATAGAAAACTCTGTCACCGCTTAATATGTACTTATCAACACAATAAAAGGCATAAGACTGATTTTACTGCTCAGTGATCCTTAAACCACTCTGTCCACCTAAATTGAACTCATTCTTTGGAAGGGTAAATGAAAAACAGTGCACAGAAGTGTGTTTTGCCTTCTGTGCCTAGAGTGCTTTCTTAGTTAAGAAGAACTAATAACATGGCAAATGTTCATCTGCATTACATTCCAATATGATTTTCCTCAAACGACATGATATTCAATTTTAAAAGCTGCAAGCTACATGAAATCTCCAAAATATTTTTCAGTATCTAGCATTTTTTTTTATTATCCAATCATTTTAAGTAGCAGATTATTTAGATAGATCAGCAAATCACCTAGTGATACCATAATGGAGTGTAACAACAGTGATGAAACATAGTAGGAGACATTTTATCTATATGTGCATGTCTTTTTTTCAAGATGCTTGAGCGTTCTCTAAAGCTGCTATTTGAAACAAGAGATATAAGTCTAATTAAACAGTATGTTCAACAACAATGTATGAAACTATTGGAAGGGAAGGCCAGCATACAGGATTTTATCTTTGCCAAGGAATACAGAGGAAGTTTCTCGTATAAACCTGGAGCATGTGTGCCAGCCCTTGAACTTACAAGGTAATGATGAATAAAACCATACTACCTCAATATCTCGCAAGTGCAGACCTTGGGTTCTGCACAGGTTTAGAATAAATGAAAAGACACTTAGACTGTGGATACAAACACTTGTTTCTTCACTTGACTACACAAAACCTCATTGAATGGGAATGGATGCTTTCACATTCTTTGTAAGTTGTAAAGAGAAAGCGGGAACTCCTGGGCTTCCCTTGGAAAACTGTTCAATGAAATTATGATCTTATTCAGAGCTTAATGCACTTTATTAGTAGACTAATAATAAGAATTATGTGCCATCAAGTCAGTTCCAATTCATAGTAACCCTGTATAGGGTTTTATATAAAATTCCCAAGGCAGTTGTAATTCTAATTTGAAGATAACTTTTATAGATTTTTCATTGTCTCATTATTGTTTCTCATTTTATTTGCTGAAAAAAATGCCTTCCATGAGTCTTTGTCTATTTTATTTGGGGTTTAATAGGAAAATGCTTACTTATGACCGGCGCTCAGAGCCTCGAGTTGGGGAGCGAGTGCCATATGTCATCATTTATGGGACCCCAGGAGTACCACTTATCCAGCTGGTAAGGCGTCCAGTAGAAGTCTTGCAGGACCCAACTCTGAGACTGAATGCCACTTACTATATCACCAAGCAAATCCTTCCACCCCTGGCAAGAATCTTCTCGCTTATTGGTATTGATGTCTTCAACTGGTATCATGAATTACCAAGGGTAAGCTAAAGATTCCCTATAAAGCTAAAGATTTTATTTGTATGCTATGAGAGGCTAAACAGAGGCTCTGGTATTCTAAATTGGCTCCTAGTTTCCTAAAAGAGAAACTATTACATTTTCTTCAAGTACCTTCCCAGCTTCTGTCAGGTTGGCCAAATTATGAAACTGTTAAAATAAATTCTATAGTATAGATATTTCCAAGGTAAACACAAAACAACTTGGAATAAACCACTTAATAGAAAAAAATGAAAGAGAACAAAAATTATTTCAAAACGGATGTTTTAAAAATGTATAAGATGTAGTATCTAGACATTGTCCTAGAGAAACTAGGCTAAGCCAATACTTTTAAAATAGCATAGTAAGGTAAAACATTTAACATGAAATCTTAGCAAAGGGAGCTTGTTTGAACTCTTCTTGGTTTAGTCACTAGGAACCTAACAAAGCAATATGTGATTCTATAATAGTCTAAGATACATATTTTAGTAGACTGTAGTTTTTATCTACTGGTTAGAATTCACTTCATATTTGCTTAGTCATTGCTGTAATCTCAGACTATGCAAGGCAATGATATTCAGACAAACTGATAAAGAAAAGTTGATACTTAAATCATTTCTACTTTCTCAATAAGCACTTACTAGCCTAAAGGAAACAGGAAACTAAGAAAGCAGACGTTGAGGCTGTGCTTTAGAGACTTTGTCCTGATGGCTGTCTATAATGCTGCCTCCTGGTACTGGGCCAGGAGGCTCAGTGTTTTTTAATTACTGTTTTATGTAATCACCAGCAAAAATGTTAAGTCAATGCATTCATAAGAGACTAACTTAAAAACTTTTATGCAAAATGAGTTCTAAGACACCAGAAGAATATGCCAAAGATATAATAATAATAATAATGATAAGATAGTGTTATTTCAATGTAAAAAGAGCACCTGAAGACAAGTCTTAGAAACCAGTATTAACGTCACATGAAGAATTCATATGTGACATGTAGCTAATTAAATTTGAAATGCGCCATGTTTACTTCTGCTTGAATTTTAACCCAGACTATAAGTCGTTAACTTGGTTGTTGTCAACTTTCCACTTACCTATTTCCATGACCCAGTTTGTACAGACCCAATCACTATTCCCTCCCAACTGGAATTCTTTCATCCCCTCTACCCTATATGATCTCCTTCATTTGTGCATCTCAACCAGAAAGACTAAGATGTAGGTTCCACGAAAACAGGGACTTTGTTCAATTCCTTTACTCCAGTGTCTACAATAGTGTCAGCACATAGTTGTCGTAGTTGTAATTGCCTTTGAGTCTGTTCTGACTCATAGCAACTGTGTATAGGATTTCCAAGGAGTGACTGGCAGGTTTGAGCCACTAACCTTTGGGATTAGCAATCTAGTCCTTATCCTACAGCATCACACCAGGACATGTTGTTATTAACTGCCATTGAGTCGGTTCCTACTGATAGATAGTACCTTGTATTGGGTTTCCAAGGAGCAACTGCTGGTGAGTTTGAACCACCGACCATGTGGTTCAAACCAACCTTGCGGTCCAGTGCTTTAGACATAGTAGGTACTTAATACTTATTGAATGAATGGGAAAAAATGTCTATAATTAGCATGAGAATAGTAGCTCTGCTGTGAAGTTGGTTCAGACTTATTTCTGAATTGATCTTTCTGTAGTTCCAGAAAGCCACCGGCTCCACTCGAAGTGAACGGGAAGGGCGGAAAGGCACCATTTCTCAATACTTCACCACCTTACACTGTCCTGTGTGTGATGACCTGACTCAACATGGCATCTGTAGTAAGTGCAGGAGCCAACCTCAGCAGGTCGCAGTCATCCTCAACCAAGAAATTCGAGAGTTGGAACGGAGGCAGGAGCAACTTGTAAAGGTATGTCCTTGTTCAGTAGACCAGAATTGCAAACAGTCTGATTCTCTAGGGAAATGTTGCCATCTCTTGAGGTGTAGCATGAAATCTCACACTTGGGTTCAGAGTGGAGTGAGGGCTCTAAACAGATAAGTTTCTTCAAATTTCAGAAGTCTCTAGTGGAATTATTCAAAGTGGCTTAATTTATTTCATAGATTATTGCTTTTTGTTTTCATGGAATAGTCTATTATGTTTATTAAAACCTAGAACTAGAATGCCCGTCCACCCAATGTTTTCTATGACAGTATTAGAAAAAGAAAGGTCTCAAGTCCTCTGTCTACACTAATCTTTCTCACAAAAATCTGTTTGCCCTAGAGAATTGCTAGTAAACTTCAGAAGGTTCACAGAGTCAAGAGAGAACATTAATAGTTACCATGATTGTTGCCAGAGCAGAGCCCATCCTAGGCACTCTGGCAGATGAGTAAACTGACCATAGGGCAGGTTTCACTGCCTAGTAAGTGGCAGAGCTCTGAGATACAGATATATAAAAGAGGCAGAGATGTTGTCCAATGTAGAAATTCTGGTAGAAAAAGGCAGCAGAAATCTCTTTTAAAGTAACATAAAAATAAATAAATAAATAAATAAAAAATCTGAAGAAAAATTACCATAGCATATTCTTTAAAAGCAAATATTTTTCTTAAGGGGATAATTGTATAGTATGCCATCATATTTTTACATTACATTTTGACTTGTAGACTGAGAGAACAGTTTTGGAGTGGGGTTTTTGTTGACTTGGTTTAGAACAGTATATATATATATATATATATATATATATATATATATATGTATATTAAGTTGGAGTATTTTGTAAATCAACCACATAATTGAGAGATTTAGTGGAAAGTCAGTCAAGCTGATAATGAGGACATCAGGATTCTACTCTAGACTCCGTAACATGGGGCAGTGTCTTGGCCTCACTTTTGTCAAGTATAAAATGGAAAGGTTGGCAGGATGTTCATTCCAACCATCTAGCTCTAACATTCTGAATTCTCTTATGTAATTTTTATAGAAGTTTATCTACTTACAGACCTAATAATATGATCCAACTACCAATGTATAAAGATCAGACTTTGCACCTTGTTTGAAGGGTAAAGAAGATTTCGAACCAAGACATCAATGTGCAGAGTCTCTTAGTAGGAAAACTTAATTGAACACAGAGAGGAATAGTGTCTTCAGAGACCAGAGTCAAGAATCTTAGGGATTGTAGGAGGACTGGCAAGGTGGAGACTTCAGCTTCTGCATCATTCTAGCTGCTGCACTTTGTACTGGCAGAAAATTCTTAGCAGTAGTGAATATAGCCATTTGGAATGTATTATTCCACTTTTGTTAAGGATTGTTGTTAAGTGCTGTTGAGTCGGTTCTGACTTAAAGTGACCCTATATAGGGACTGAAAGGAGCTTTGGTAGCGTAGTGGTTACGAATCGGGCTGCGAACCTTAAGGTCAGCAGTTCGAAACTACCAGCCGCTCCGCGGGAGAAAGATGAGGCTTTCTACTCCCGTAAGGATTTACACCCTCGAAAACCCTGTACAGGGTCGCTATGGGTCGGAACCGACTCAACGGCACACAACAACAACAACAACATATAGGGACTGAAGGAGCAGCTGGTGTGGTCAGGCCAGTGCTTATCCAACAGTGTTACACCAGAATGGTGGTAGTGTGCCACTGAGTCAGTTCCTACTCAAAGCAGCCCTGTGTAGGATTTCTGAAACTATAAGTCTTTACGGGAGAAGAGAACCTTATATTTCTCCTGTGGAGTGAGTGACGGTAGATTAGAACTGCTGACCTTGCAGTTAGCAGCCCAGCTTGTAATCTACAATGCTACCAGGACTCCTTTTATTAAGAATGGTGGTATCTAAAATGAACATTTATTTTGGTGCAACCATAGAGGCCCACCTACCTTGTTAACATGAAAACTTCACTCTTCCTTCTCTCCGCATCCAATCTGCTAAATAGCTTTTTAAGTACGCTGACTTTTCTTATCTTTTTTTAATCAATCCTAGTTCAGACCACCATTATCTCTGATCTAAACTGCAGTAGTCTCCAAACCTGGTTCCCTGTCTCCGGTTTTTGCCCCCATCCTGTCCATTCTCAACTCTGTAGTGCACTTGCTGTCTGTCTCTCTCTCACTGTCTGTCATTATTACAGCACTTTTCTCACAATGGGACCCGCCTGCAACCCCTCTATCACCATTTCTTAGACGTTTTCCTATCACATTCTACCCTCCATCCATGTCATACTAAACCTCTTATAGGTCCATGAATAAACCTTAATGTCTCCCACCTCCTGGGCCTCTGTTCTCTCTGCCTGGAAGACTCCTCCATCCCCACTAGCCATATGAGAAGAATCAGTTTAAGCCTCTAGACCAGGTGAAGTCTTCACTACAGTGGGCTCCCTGTCATATAACCTCCTTTGCTGTATTGTTTCACTGTGATTGTATGTGTATCTGTCTGCCCATTAAACACCAAGTGAACTCAGGGAGAGCAAAGGAAGTTCCCTTGGTGGCATCTGTATGAGAAGTAAATGTGGGCAGTCCCTCTAGAGCTCCACTAAGGGCAATGGCTGCATGGTCTTTCCCTGGACCTTACTGTCTCCTGCCCTCAACTACAAATACTGTACTAGTATTGCCATCCATGTAATCAGATCAGTTGGCATTATGATTTCTTATAAAAATGCAGTTTAAAAGAAGTATACAATAAAGTAAGGATGGGTTATCTCCTTTCATGAGGTACTTTTAACTTTAGTTTAAAAAAAAAAAAACAATAATTAAAACGTGTTAATTATTTAGTGCATTAAATAATCCATAGAAACTTTCATAAAGCAGAATTTACAGAGGATGTGATGAGAAAAAGACAGAAACATACTAGTAAAAGTAACAGGAGATTTTATGTCAACTCTTAGTCCAAAATGGTTAATGTGGTCAGGATATAAGCATGATTGTAGAAGAGCTAGACAACATACTAAGGTACACCTAATGCCTGTATATCAATCTCTGTAACCCAATACTAGGGAGTACATCTTCTTTTGTTTTTAAAAAAAACAAAACCATAAAATTTGTAACAAAAACCTGATTGAATTTCAAAAAGAAATTAATGTTTTACCAATACATTGCCATAAAACTACCAATTAATAACAAATTCAGAAAGCAAAATGGTCCTTGAAGATTTGCACATTCCCTATTAAACAAGAACACCCTACTAATCACATTCTAGCATATTTATAGCGAGCGCAGAGAAAAATCTTACACACTTTTAACAAGAAATATGAAAGAATGAAAGCAAATTAAGCAACTAATTGAATTTTTTTTTTTATTAGAAAGCAAGCCAAATGACAGCTAAAAGAAAGAACCAATAAAGGTTAAAGCAGATGTGTTTTAAAAAAAAGAAGTGTCTCTGTTGAGGTGTTAAAGTTTTCAGTGTAAACCTGAATCCTGCTCTCGTGCTCAGGGTTTAAATCACCAGTAAAAGATCATGGACTGAACCACTGAGTTAAATTTAGTAGGCAAGTAATTCCACCTGAGTTTATCAGACCTGCAGAGAGCGTGTGTCCTGACTTCGGAGTAACTGCAGTGCATAGAGCTGTGGTACTGAGACTCTCTAACTTGGGAATGGATTCGAGTCTACTGGCAGAGTCCTACATTGTGAACAGCACACTCAGAATTCATAGAACAACCCAGAGCACATGTTTCTAAACAGTTTGCTTGTGGGAATATCACAAAATTAGATACAATAACCAATGTATTCAGAAAAATGTGCCCTTCAAATGACAGGATGATACTGGGGGCAAGGACAGACATCTGGTACACCCCCAGTCAATCTCTAAAGCAGAAGTTCTTTGATAATACATGTCAAAGTATTCACTGGAGCACATTTGATTTCTCGCTTAAAAGACAACCTAGAGTAGTTGCTGCTGCTTGGTATTCCTTTTTTAAATCACTTGGATACCCTATTCAAGTGAAAAAATTAGTCTGTATTTTTCTTGGGGTTCTCATTAAGGATCCCTGGTTACACAGTGGGCTGCTAACCGAAAGGTGGGCATTATGAACCCACCAATTGTAGACAGCAGTCTGCTCCCATCACACTTTATAGCCTTGGAGACACTGTGGGGCAGTTCCGCTCTGTCTTTTTAGGGTCCTTATCAGTTGAGTCAACTCAGCAGCAATGGGGTGGGTTTGGTGGGGTCCTCACTGGTATCCTTTTAATTACTTTTGCATTTTTCATGTTTTGTTATATTATTTGTGACTAGAGACTTTTGAAGTATAGTCTAAAAGCTAGTATTTGTGTTAAGACATTAGAATGCTTATATTATTTCCTTTCTATCACATCTCATATATCAGAATCATTTGGGGGCCTTAAGAAGTACAAAGTTTTGGTCTTTATGCCCAGAGACTCTGCTTCAGTGGTCTGGAATGGGCTCAAGCAGGAAAGAGTTTGTTGTTAAGCTCATCTGTAGCTAGAGTTGTGAGACCCACTAATCTACACCGCTACTTTTAAATTCTGTAATTATTTTTCATATTGGCATTTTCTCTTCTGAAATAAGAAATTACATAACTTGTGATTAGTATATTCAAAGATAAATGTCAATAATTTGGAAAACTAATGTTATATATAATTCATTTAAGAGGCATTTTTGTGCAGTGGGTAGGTAGCTCACTAGGTGGATTTTAATAAAATAGGATTCTGCTATAAATGAAAGTTAATCTGAGGGATGAAGGGAATCACTGGGTAATTTTGCACAGTTTGTTGTTTGAAATGTCCATTAGAAGTGTCTCAAGATAGAGTAGGTTAAAGTAGTTTTCTAAGAAATGAGTATTATGAAACTTCTGCGACTATATTATATGCCCTATGAAGAGGCTCCAAAAAGTTTGTGGAAATTTTCCATTATCTTTCCTTCCATTTCTTCATGAACTTTTTGAAGCACCCACATATTATGTCTTCCAGTAATCTGTACTGAGGTCATATGGCATTTTTAAAGTTTGTTATTTATACACACACACATATATAAATATATAAACTTTCCTGTTGATATCTTTCTTTCTCTTATACTTTCAGATATGCAAGAACTGTACAGGTTGCTTTGACCGACATATCCCGTGTGTTTCTCTGAACTGTCCTGTACTTTTCAAACTCTCTCGAGTAAATAGAGAACTGTCAAAGGCACCGTATCTCCGGCAATTACTAGACCAGTTTTAAAGTGTGAATTTCACAGAATTCCAGGTGCTATTGTTTTCAGTGTTTACCACTAAACTGTTGTGCATGGTGCTTTTTCAACTTGAGTCAAGGATGCGTGGAGACTAAGAAGACTTTTATGGTAACAGAACTTAAAATTGTACTTGTTGATCTCTGAGTAGCTCACTTCTTACAATGTACAAATTCCTCATTCTTTCACCTTTTTAACATTGTTTTATAATGCAGGTGTTGAATTTGCTCCAGTATGTGTACCATCTTGTAAATCCATTTTGAATAGATCATGTTTACTTCCCTGTGGAAGGAGCACTGAAAACCTCTTAAAGAAAAACCATTAGTGTATTTCCTTGAACTGTCTGTATCAAGATGTGTTCCTTAGAGATACCCATTCACTTTATAATTTCAACTGCAAAATATTTTGTAAATACACTTTTTTACTTTTCAAACAACTGAGTAAAATAATGTGCAATGAATTTTATACAGATGATTTTCAAGTTGTTTGGTATATTTCCTCTAGGTTTTGCTTGACTCAAAGTAGATTTGTTATTTTGATCAAACCGTGCAAACAATAGTACCATGTGTAGCATTTTGAAACATTATTTTCTAAAACCGCTGTCTTGCTTTAGCTAATGGGGCATTGTGAGGAACTGTGCAAAGACATTTTTGTTACAAACCTGTGGGCCTGTTGCAATACTTTAAAAATAAAAAAGTTTATTCCATTTTTGCTTGTTTTGTATAGACATTTCTATTGCTTCTAAATATGCTTAAAATATTTTCTTTCATTATGTACTGTATAGTTAATCTTATTTGCCATCATCTTGAACACAAAATGTGTATTTAGAATATTTGTATAACTGTATAAAATGAAAAAGGAATTATGTGGTCAGTGCATTGTTTTCTAAACTGGAAATCATTTTGTTTTAAAAGTTAATAATGAAACCATATTAAAATTGAATAAAATATGAAATACAGCAGTTTGGTTTTATCTTGCTGTAAGTGATATTATCTGCATTGGTTTTATAAGGTAATGTTGGTTGCATCTTACATGAACTTTAATTAAATTTAACTCCTTTTGTATCCTGGTTGATGATATGGCAATTCCTTCACCAAGGTAGTAAAAATAGTTTATAGGTAAAATTTAGCACTCTTCATTCTAGAGCATTCTAGCCAATCCTCAGTGTTCATTTTCACCTTGAGGCCAGGACTTTCCAGAGAGAAAGCAAAAACTACATGACTGCTTTTTCAAACTTTAAATGCCAATACTTTATCTTAACACCAAAAGTCCATCTGTTATTCACCAGAAATGGCTCTTCTGTTTCCAGAACATATTTACTTCCAGATACTAAAGGGATAATTTTCAGATAGCAATTTGGTACATATGGACTAAAGGAGAGAAAAATCGCAAAATCTTATCTGTGAACTTACTTCTTTCAAGCCCTGCTATCAATCCCCACATTTCTTCTGAGGATTTTTTTTTTTTTTTTTTTTTGCTATCCTCTGAATTCAGCTTTTCTTACCCTGGCATGATGAGGTTTTCTCTGTTTTTCTCTTTTGTAACTTCTGTGCTAATGGTAAGGACTTACATGTCTTCTCTTTCTCATCCTAGTAACTCTACAGAATATTCTCAACAAAATAACCATTCTTCTCCATAATGGATACAGTTGAATTGACAGTAGTTATTCAACACAAGTGCCCCAAACGATGTCAGTTTTAGGCACTTGGCATCTATCTGGTACCCTTTTGTGCCTGAAGCACTTCCCCTGTTAACTCTGACCAATATGTCATTTAACTGCCTTTAATGAGGGTTCTCTATTTCAATAACTGTCACCTAGGAGCATGCTGAAAATTTTGCTAAGAAATTCTTTGTAAGGAGCTTCCAGTATTTTCATAATTATTGCCTCTCTCCTTTAGAGATCAGCTATAAATAAAATTTTGTCTTGCATTCCACCCCAATGAACTCAAGTTTGAATGCTGTTAGGGGCTATCAAGGCGGTTCCAATCCATAGCAACCCTGTATAGGGTTTCCAAGGACAGCTGGTGAGCTTGAACCGCCAACCTTGAAGTTCAAACTTACTTTGCAGTCCAGTGCATTAACCCACAGCGCCACACCAGGACTCCCAAATTTGAATAGTATTTGAAGAAATACTTGTATGCTTCACCAAAGGGGTGGGGAACTGTTTTTCTGCCAAGGGCCATTTGTATATTTATAATGTCAGAAGAGACACAGAAACTTGCTCTCCAACATAGAGGTGCTAAAGCAAATGGAAGAAATGAGGAGGTACAAGAGCTGAACAGAAAATTTCAGAGGTCAGCTCGAGAAGACATTACAACAAAATGTGCAAAGATCTGGAATTAGAAAACCAAAAAGGAAGAACATGCTCAGCATTTCTCAAGCTGGGGAAACAGAAGAAACAACTCAAGCCTCGAATTTCGTTATTGAAGGATTCTCTGGGTGAATTATTGAATGATGCAGAAAGCATCAAGAAAAGATGGAAGGCATACAGAGTCACTGTACCAAAGGAAATGGTTGCTGTTCAACCATTTCAAGAGGTAGCATATGATCAAGAGCCAGTGATACTGAAGGAAGGAGTCCAAGGTACGTGGAAGGAATTGGCAAAGAACAAGGCACCAGGAATTGATGAAATAAAAATTGAAATCTTTCAAGAAAGTGAGGGGGCACTGGAGGCACTCACTCATCTCTGCCAAGAAATTTGGAAGACATCTTTCTGGCCGACTGATAGGAAGAGATCAGTATTTGTGCCCATTCCAAAGAGAGATGACCCAACGGAATGCAGAAATCATCGGACAATCTTTTTGATATCCCATGCGAGTAAAGTTTTACTAAAGGTAATACAGAAACGGCTACAAGCATACACTGACAGAGAACTTCCAGAGATTCAAGCTGGATTCAGAAGACGAAATGGATTGAGGGATATCACTACTGACATCACATGGATCTTGGCTGAAAGCAGAGAATACCAGAAATATGTTTAATTGTGCTTTATTGACTACACAAAGGCTTTTGATTGTGTGGATCATGACAAGCTTTGGACAACATTGCGAAGTATGAGTATTTCTGAACACTTAATTGTGCTCATGAGGAATCTGTACATGGACCAAGAGGCAGTTGTAGGGACAACATGGGAACACTGAATAGTTTAAAATTAAGAAAGGTGTGTGACGGGTATATTCTTTCACCATACTTACTCAACCTGTATTCTGAGCAAATCATTCGGAGAAGCTGGGTTATAAGAAGAAAAACGTGGAGGGATTGGAGGAAGACTAATTCACCACCTGCAATATGCAGATGATACAACTTTGCTTGCTGAAAGTGAAAAGGACTTATTTACTGATGAAGATCAAAGAACACAGCCTTAGGTATGTATTGCATCTCACTGTAAAGAAAACAAAAATCCTCACCACTGGACCAGTAAACAACATTCTTATCAACAGAGAAAAGATTGAAGTTGTCAAGGACTTCATTCTTCTTGATTCAACTATCAACACACATGGAAGCAGCAGTCAAGAAATCAAACGATGTCCAGCAAAGCTATCAATCAAATACGATGGTGTAATCAAAACATTCCAGGATAAACATAAGCTATGGGAATTTACCAAATCCAACCCTGCACTACAAAACATCCTAAAGGGAGTTCTGTGGACTGAGAACCAA